GCTATGCCCCATCCAGTCTACGGACTCTGAGCAAGACATGGACTTAACCCGGGTCCCCTGCTCCCCCAGTGTCGAGAGCTTACACTCGGAGCGCGGAGCGAACATCGCTGTCTACCCCTCTCTGCATGGACCTGACAATCAGATCGACCTACGGGATCTTTCCAACCCCCTCCTCCCACTTGGGATCAACGCCAGTTGCAGTACCTGTATGGGGCCTATCCATTTCCAGGAGGCATGCCATGGCTTCCCCCACATCCACCAATGGAGTGAGATCGCCAGTCTTCTTCATCCCAACTCTCTCGGTATCGAGACCCTCCCCCAACGCCGGAGTTCGTCAGACCTCAGCTGTCACAACCGATAGCCAAGCGTCATGATCTGCCATCGGCGGCATCGACAAAGTTTAAAGAACCATCAGAACCCATACCATCGACACTGATTCTCCAAATGTCGTTTTCTGAACCCTCAGATCATTCCAGCTCCTCCAATTCGTCACAATCTGGTGATGAAAACCCACATCCTCCAGTGGAACCTTCTCCCCCTTATCACATCAAGTAGGGGATGATCTCCCAATATCCCCTTCTGAAGATGTCAAGTCTTATGGGGAATTTGTTAAGCGAATGGCCAATACACTGGCCCTGTCAACTGTCCAACTGCCTCCAGCAGTTACAGATTCGGTTTTCGACATCGTCCAGATGGACACCTCAACAGCCATCGCTCTCCCCATGACTTCAGTCCTCTTGCAAACGGCTAAAGCTCCCTGGTCACATCCTTCTTCCATCCCTATTTCCAGAAAACAGATGGATCATATGTATAAAGTGCAGGAGACGGGAGCGGAATTTCTGTTCATCCACCCCAAACCGAACTCGGTGGTTGTGACTTCCTCAGCCATAGGCAAGCGCAGCCATTCCGCACCTTCTGACGAGGGTAGGAAACTAGACTCCTTCGGTAGAAAATTCTACATCGTGGGAGCATTGGGCATCAAAACCTCCAATTATATTGCCTGTATGGGACGATATCAGTATGCCCTATGGGAACAGCTGTCCAAATTTATTGCTGCTCTCCTGGACAACCTCAACCATCAAGCTAGATGAATCCAGAAGGAGGCCATGCTTTTGACGAAGCACCAACTCAATGACTCCAAACACATGCTAGATGTTGCAGCCAAGACCCTCACCTCATCTATCGCCCTTTGGCACCATGTGTGGCTACGATCCACGGCACTACAACAGGACACCAAGGCTATTGTAGAGGACCTTCCCTTTGAAGGTGATGGACTCTTTAGCTCTGCTACTGATACGGTGTTGCAAGAACTCGATAAGAGGATCAAAACGTCTCGCAACCTGGGGGTCACATCGATCCCTAAGCATAGCAAAGGTAAACCTTGGAATAAGCAGACCCTCATCAAAATCCTCGTCTGAGCTACAATGGCAAAGATCCCCTAGCAGCTCTTCGCGCCTGTATGGGGAAAACCCAAGTTCTTGTCCGCCTCTCTATCTAGAGTGAAGGCTCCAAAGGTTCCTAAGCAGAATCTTTGACTCCAGCCTTTTTCTGATGTCCCCTATTCACCTGTCTCCCTACTTGGCAGCATATAATGTCGGACCAATGGGTCCTCTCAGTCATCAAGGAGGGATACCTTATAGAATTTTTTCAGATCCCTATGGCTGCCAACTTCGTATTCACCCCATCCTTGGACATGCTTTTAGCAGAGATCCAGAACCTCCTCCAAAAAGGTGCCATAGAACCGGTGCCTGTAGCCCAACATTAAACAGGTTTCTATTCACGTTACTTCACGGTCCCAAAGAAGGACAGAGGCCTCCGCCCCATTATGGACCTCAGACACCTAAATCGCTTCATCACCTGCAAGAAATTCAGAATGACAACTTTGCAAAACATCCTCCCACTCCTAAACTGGGGAGTATGGATGGTGACCTCGGATCTCCACGACGGATATTTCCATGTGTCCATTCGTCCAACCCATAGGATGTTTCTGAGGTTCGCAGTAGGAAACAGGCATTTCCAGTACAAAGCCCTTCCTTTTGGTTTGTCCACGGGACCTCGAGTCTTTATGAAAGTGATGGTGGTCATCATGGCATACCTTCAATTAAAAGGCATCCAAATATTCCCATATATCAACGACTGGTTGCTAGTGACAGATTCCGAGACCTCCCTGCTCAGCCACATCAACCTGACCTTGACCACCCTAGAAACCTTGGATCTCAAGGTGAATCTCAAAAAATCAATGTTACTCTCCTTCACACAAGTGCAGTTTATAGGAACGATCCTGGACTCCACCGTATGCAAAGCGTTTCTTCCTCCCCAAAGGGCAAGGGACATTGTCAGTTTTGTAGATCTCTTTCGTCAAAAGGGAAATGCCTCTGCGAGGCAAATCCAGCGATTGTTGGGGCTGATGGCGGCCACCACTGCAGTAATTGTCTTTGCCAGGCTCCGGATGCGGCCACTGCAACTGTGGTTTGTTCGGAAATTCCATCCACAACGACAACCTCAATCACAAAGGGTCATCTTCCCATCAAATGTATTAGACTCACTACTCTGGTGGAAAAGTCTGCAGAATCTCCTAGCGGGAGCACCATTCCACCCGCCAACCTCAACACTGACACTGACCACAGATGCATCCCTCTGGGGATGGGGTGCACATCTCAAGGGAATTTGTGTAGGGGCTCAATGGGAACCTCATGTAGCCCACCACCACATCAATTTCCTGGAACTGCTGGCCATCCAATATGCACTCAGATCTTTCTGCCACATAGTGACCCATCAGGTGATCACTGTTCTCACCGACAATGCCACAACCCTTCGTTATATCAACCGGTAGAGAGGCATGATATCTAGGGGACTGTGTCAACTGGACCTAGAAATCTGGGACAAATGTCAGTCGTGGGACACCTTTCTAAGGGTCACCCATCTGCCAGGGGCTTTGAACGTGCAGGTGGATTTCCTGAGCAGATGAGGTGCATTGTGGCACGAGTGGGAACTCAACTGGACGTACCTCCAGCCGATATTTCACAAATGGGGTCACCCAGATGTGGACGTGTTCACGACACGCCAGAACAAGAAATGTCATCTGCCCTGTTCCAGAACGGGGGCGGACCCATTGTCCCTGGGGGATAGTCTTCTCTTCCCATGGTCACACAGGCATGTGTTCCTCTTCTCTCCAATTCCTCTACTCTCCAAGGTAATCATCAAAATAACGAAAGACTGCAATGTATCCTGGTGACTCCGTGGTTGCCCTGACAACACTGGTTCCCCACTCTGCTCCACCTATCCCAAGGGCTCCTTCACCCACTTTCCTCCGGTACTGGATCTTCTCCTTGCTCAGATGGGGCAGGTACTACAGCCAGGTGCCGCACCTCAAGCTCACTACATGGAGGATCCTCTTTTAATGCTCATGGATAGGATAGACCATGTCTTATTGAACTGTCGCAAGCTGTCTACATGAGCCTCTTATGCTGGGGACTGAAAGAAATTCTTATCTTACCTCAGTTCATTAGGATTACCGCCGCCTCCATCAGACTTAGTGGCAGTCTTTGGTTTCTTGTCGTCCCGTTTGAACTTGGGCCTTAGTTGTGCCTTGTTAAAGGTGTACTTAGCTGCCATTTCCACTAATCATCCAACAGTGGATGGCCACTCTTATCTTCTCTCACCCTCAGACCAAAAAGTTCCTGAAGGGCTTGAATCACCTTTTTCCTCCATCACGTGGCCCTACTCCAGCATGGGACTTACCACTGGTGTTCACAAGACTTATGGGCAAACCTTTCGAGCCCATGGCTATTTGTAGTTTGCAGCTTTTGTCCTGGAAGACAGCCTTTTTAGTAGCCATCACATCCACTAGGAGGATGAGTGAGCTGTCAGTGCTTCGGTGCTTCCCCGTACCTGAGTTTTCGTCATGGTGGGGTTACATTGGCTCCAGATGTTTCGTTCCTGCCTAAAGTGGTTTTGGAGTTTCATCTGCAAGTGGACATTGTTCTCCCAGTGTTTTCCCCATCCCCTGAGACTAATGAGGAACACTGTCTTCATTCTCTGGACGTCAAAAGGGCTTTGCTTTTCTACCTGAATAGGACGCAGCCTTTCAGAAAGTCACCGGCCCTGTTCATTTCCTATGCTTTACCTGCTCAGGGTAAGAAGCTGTTGTCCCAGCGTCTATCCAAATGGATCGTAGAGACGATTAAACTATGCTCCTCTCTGGCAAAGAAGCCACTCCTGAGCCCACTCAGGGTACATTCCACTTGGGCAGTAGCAACGTCCATAGCCTTCCAGCAAAGTGCATCACTCGAAGACATCTGCAATGCAGCTACTTGGGCCACCCCGCACACGTTCATGAAGCATTAAGCCCTAGATGCACGTCTTCATCAACGTTCTGTGGTGGGATGAGCTGTGTTGCAGGCAGCGCAGATCTAGGACCTTCAGCTCCCTCCTCCAGGTAGGCGTGTACTGCTTGTTAATCTCCCAGAGGTGTGATGCACAGAGACCACGAAGAAGATAAACAGGTTGCATACCTGTAACTAATTATCTTCGAGTTGTCGTCTGTGCATTCACACCGCCCGCCCTCCTTCCCCTCTGCTTTTGGTCCTTTTCTTTCTTTGGAGACTGAGGGCAGTGGTCAGAAGGAACTGGCGGGATCATCGTGCCCCTCCCCTAGTCATGCGCACTGGAGCCCGGCACATGACTGGGGTGTGGGCGCGAAAATCCCTTTTGCTTTCCATTATACCGATCGGGGTCAGTGCAGGCGCACTATATCCCAGAGGTGTGAATGCACAGATGACCACTTGAAGATCATCAGTTAGTTAACAACCTGGGTTTTTTGCTTGATATGGTGGCTCCTTAAAAACTATTGAATTAATTGTAACATGAACTTTTATAAACAGGAGTGTGACACACTAGTTTTAGCAGCTGTAGTTGCATATTTTCTAAAACTAGTTGTATATACATAAAGCTAGGCTATCTGCTAAACTTTGCTCTGAAATCACCTGTTTTTCCCCTAGGTGGTTTTGGAATGTATGCTGAAGAAGGACCTTATTTACAATAAGGTTACACCAACATTTCACCACTGGAAGATTGATGACAAAAAATTTGGCCTCACATTTCAGAGTCCTGCTGATGCAAGAGCATTTGATAGAGGCATTCGGAGGGCTGTAGAAGATATCTGTCAAGGTATGGATGTTGGTTGCTGAATCTTTTCTTTAAAAGTTAGCTATAATGGGATTAATAAAGCTATCCAGAGCTTTTTAAGGGGTGATCTATTTTCTGTTCTGGTTGCCTGGGTTTCTTGCTCCTGCCCCTCCAGTTATTTTTCTCACTCTGGAATTGGAAGGCACATACAACTTTAAGCCATGAGTGAAAGAAAGAGCCACCTGTAGTTGCGCCAGCACCATACTCTAATGCTCCACAGGAGCACCAGCAGTAATTAAGGGTATGGAAAATGGTGCAGTTTGAAATATGCATGATGGATCATGCCCATTTTGTGTGTGAGCCAGTTTGTGTAAGAGCCAGTTTTGTGTGAGAGCCAGTTTGGTGTAGTGGTTAAGTGCGCGGACTCTAATCTGGGAGAACCGGGTTTGATTCCCCACTCCTCCACTTGCACCTGCTGATGTGACCTTGGGTCAGTCACAAGCTCTGGCACAGCTGTTCCTGAAAGAGCAGTTTGTGTCAGAGGTCTCTCAGCCCCACCCACCTCACAGGGTGTCTGTTGTGGGGAGGGGGAGGGAAAGGAGTTTGTAAGCCGCTCTGAGACTCCAAGTGAAGGGCGGGGTATAAATCCAATCTCCTCCTTCTTCTTCTTCTTATCTACCTATATGTGGTATCAGATACTCCGTAAATGTTCAGTATTGCAGTAACCAGACAGAGGTCCAATGGAGAATATACAAACGAAAGACTCCAGATTTATCAATGTTTGTCTTTTTAAAATTTCGTCAGCATAAGCCACTAAAATAAAAATCCATGTTATAGTACAGTATGAATATAGTATTAGAATATAATTAAAAAGACACTATCAAATCAAAATTAAGATGGTGGTATTACACTAATAGGACATTGTTAGTGTTTGTTCATCTGTTAGTACTTACGGTTAACATCCTGTTAAGCACAATTATGGAACATTAATCATTATTAGGACACTGCAATCACTCCTAACGGTTACTTGGTTTTATTTTTGCCTCATTCTCATCTCAGGTTGTCTGACATCACATGATGAAATCGAAGTGCCTGCATATGGCTTTCCAGTAAGTGCTTTAGACTTCCATTATATTAATTACATTGGAAGACATGACAGGGATTCTGAAGATGGTCTTATTTGCATTTTTGAGCTGCAAACCTTTTGGAATCTAATAGGTGGATAGGTTTGCTTTGTGATAAGAGTTTGTATGAGATGACTTCTTGCTTGATTCTCAGGGCTGTAAACTTGCCTGTTTTATGGGTGAAATTCTTGCTGTTTTTCCTAGCTGTACTAATGAACCTCATGCCATTGGGATTGAGTGATGGAACAAAACTTGTCTCCAGTTCATTCCCAGAACTCGTTGTAGTAGATTTCTAGCATAACACTAAAAGAATGCTCTGAATATGCGTTGAGTGCAGAGTTTCGTTTCATCCATACATGATCAACGTTTAAACCTAGAACTTGTTTTTCAGCATCAAGGCTCAGTCCCAGAATGTGTGAGGTGTAAGCGGTAACATAAGTATCTCTAGGTGGGCAGCTGTGTTGATCTAAAGCAGTAGAACAAAGTTTGAGTTCAATGGCACCTTTAAGACCAACAAAGTTTTATTCAAGGTATGAGCTTGAATGCGTGCACACGAAAGCTCATACCTTGAATAAAACTTTGTTGGTCTTATAAGTATCTCTAGGGAGATTCCTGGTATCTTCCTCTATAAATTTAATCGTTTAAGGAGGGGCTTCTACAGACAACGTGCTGGATCCATTCTGTTAATGGTGGTGCGTTCTTCCAATGCAAAATTCCTTTATCTTTGTGTTGATGGAAAGCACCTTGTATCAGAGGAAGATTCCACAGTAGACAGAATAGAACCTTGGAATCCAGCACAGTGAAAGTATAAACAGTAGAAGTGCTGTAGAATGATGTTTGAAAAGCAGAATGCTTTAGTGCTAAATTTATTTACTTGTTTACTTACTTCATTTATAGTCTGCCTTTCTCTCCAGTGGGGACCCAAAGCAGTTTATATTGTTCTCCATTCCTCCATTTTGTACTCACAACAACCCTGTGAGGTAGGTTAGGCTGAGTATAAGGTACTGGCCCATGGTCACCCAGCAGGCTTCCATGGCAGAGTCGAGATTCGAACCTGGGTCTTCCGGATCATATTCTGATACTCTAATTTCAGTTTGGTGTAGTGGTTAAGTGTGCAGATTCTAATCTGGGAGAACCGGGTTTGATTCCCCACTCCTCCACTTGCAGCTGCTGGATGACCTTGAGCAAGCCATAGTTCTCTCACGTACAGTTCTGGAAAGAACTATCTCAGCCCCACCTACCTCACAGGGTGTCTGTTATGGGGAGGGGGAAGGAAAAGGAGTTTGTAGGCCGCTCTGACACTCTGAGTGAAGGGTGAGGTATGAATCCAATCTCTTATTCTCCTCTTCTTCTTCTATACCACATTCTAGATCTAGCTAACCTAACTATACAGGGGCACTTTATAGCTCTTGAGGGTACAATTCAGTTAGGACTTCACTCCAGAACTTGCTTTCAAAGCCAGGCCTCAGACCAATGTTCCCTCTAAGCTGAGTTAGTGTGAGCTAGCTCACAGCTTTTTAGCTTCCAGCTCACACATTTTTGTCTTGGCTCAGGAAGGATGGCTCCAGAGCAAATTAATGCATGCAGTAGTCAAATCGTTCGCGCAAAACATTTACACCAGTAGCTCACAAAGTAGAATTTTTGCTCACAAGACTCCACAGCTTAGAGGGAACATTGCCTCAGACCCTTGAAACTTGGGAAACACTTGAGAGGTGATAATGCCCTTGAGGATGTACAGATTCCTTCACCATTGCCAAATGGAATTAGAAGAAGGACCATGAGTTCCAGAAAGATGAGCTTGCTTGTTGGTAAAAGGGTTTCAGAATGTGATATGTGAATTGTGATTGACTCTACATAATGAGAGCGGACATATTTTGGACAAAGAATAGTTCCATGTAGAGCATGTTACAGTAGTATATTCGCAAAGATGCAGTGGTATGTAGCAGTATGGGCACCAAATGAATAAGACGGTGTACAGTGGAGAGGATAAAAACTTCATGGCCTAGGGCACCCATACCTCCTGTGACACTCCTGTGCCTCAGTTGTGCTCTTTAGCCTTCTCCTGGTGGTACCGTCAGCTAGGATAGACTGTTTGACAGCAGACAAAGGTTTTCTTTGTGGTAGATCCATTCCTTTGGAATGGCTTACTAGAGTGGGTGTGGCAGATATCTTCATTTGTCTTACTCAAGAAAGCATGTTTAAGACAGTTCAAGAGGGCAGTTGATAGAAAGTAAATCATTTTCTCTGGGTTTTAACTGCGTGTTAGTTTTAACGTTGCTGGACACTTATGTTTGTGTCCTTGCAGCTTTTGCTATTTTGTTAGCTGCCTTGAATCTGATGAGGTAAGGCAGGGTTTAAATATTTTAAATAAATAAAATTAAAGCTAATGGTTACAGGTTGAGTTAGACTGAACATCAGAATAAGATTTTCATGTATTAGAGTTATGAAATTCAGAGGACATCTACCTAGAAATGTTGAGAGCAAAAATGCCCAGTGATTTTAGGACCATGTTGGGATAAGCTTCTGAACGTGTATTTTATTTTGATATGACTGTCTCCATTGAGCCTCAGTGTCCTAAATGCCTGGCAGAAAATAAATGTTTATACTAATTTCCCATTTTTTAGATTAGACTGCACTTGGCAGGACTCTCTTAATGTTCTACCAGGAAAGGCACCATTATACAGAAGGTCCTGTTTTTTGACCTTCAGTAGTAAAGAAATTGTAAAGCAGAAATCCCCTGATAATCCCAGCTAAAGGGGTATGGCAATATGGAATGACAATTTTGTTTCATCATCTTATCCTTACCTGCATCTTCATCAGGGTTGCCAGCCATTGCTGGAACCCTGGCAGGAGAATTTGGGGGCCAGAGACAAGATCTTCAGCATTACTCCAATGTGCAGTTTCACTGCTGGCACAAAGCTGGCTAAACCATTGAGTTTGTGGTAAATCCTAGAGCATCAGCACAACACCAAAGAACACACACACCCATTTCTCCCTGCTGGCTTGTTGGAGGTGGGCAGGCTGAGGCCTTCCACTATAGCCAGATACCTAGCCCCCCAATACAGATCATTTTCTAAAAATCTCCTGGTTTTCATGTAACACCTGCAGTTTACTGGAAACCATGTGGGTGCTACTTGTTATGCTGACTTAATTGTGGAAAGACCTGTAACTTGTTTTTGCCACTACAAAGATTGTGCCATTAAAAACACAAAGTTTGGTGGTTTGTAAAAAGTATGCCAATTCACTGAGCAAAGAAAATCCTATCTTTATGACTTTGTACAAAAAAGCACTTTTTAAAAGATTCAGCTTAACCAAACTGATCAAGTATTTTTTTCTACTAGAAGTAGAAGGATTAATTAGGAGCTTTTAATCTCTTTATCCGATAATAAAGTCAAGCCAGTTTGGCAGTGTTTTCATAACAGTGTTTACAAATTACAGTCTGTGTTTGAAATGCCTGATTCTTTTTTTGCCCATGTTTGATACCAATAATTCATGTCAAAATATAAAACCATACAGTAGGAACTGTATAAGACATATAAGAAATACAAATTATTAATTGTAAGCCACCTCAAGCAGTACTCTGAAGAGGAGACCTAGAAATATTCTAAATAACTTACAGAATTTAGAAAACTATGCAGTGAGAATAAGATAATGCAGAGAGTAAATAATGATGTAAACAGTAGTGAGCCAATGTGGTGTAGTGGTTAAGAGTGTTGGAATAGTATCTGGGAGGACCCCAGTTCAAATCCTTTCTTGTGACATAGAAGTTCGCTGGGATGAACTTGGGCCAGTCACTCTCTCTGCCTAACTTACCTCACATGATTGTTGTGACGATAAAGTGGAAGAGGGGAGGATGATGTAAGCCACTTTGGGTCCCCATTGGAGAGAAAGGCACAGGGTACAAATGAATTAAATAAACTAGAGCCGTTGACACTTTGTAAAAGCATCCATTTTACTACAGCCCTATTCCCTTGTTTAAAAGGTCCACCGAAAGATTTTCCTTTTACACATTCTGTGAAATGAAAGAAGTATGGGAGCCTTCCTGACCTCCTCTGACGTGGCTATTTCACAATACTCCCAAGAAGGCTCCCACAACAGATAATGCTTGGGTATGGGCAGCTGCTGATCTTACCCATTCGCTGCTGGCTCCTTCAGATGAGCACAGCTGTCATAGTGAGGCATATCAAGAGAAGACAGTCTTTTGGACATATGGGTCCCTAGGCCATGAAGGGCTTTGCAGGGAACAGTCAGTACCTTGAATTGAAGGGTAGGAACAATGTAATTCCCACAAGTGTTCACTTTTATTCATAAAATTGAGTCATACCTTTTTTAAAAAAAAAGATCTTGTTAAAAATTATTTCATAGCTTTACTACAAAAGAGATGAGCACTGTTACACTGATCTAGCATCCTTGCTTTTACTACTCTATAGCTGATGCCTCTTTGCTGCTTTGTCATGCCAGAACTGAGTGATACACAGAGGGATAAAAGACTGAGAATGTCCTTAACAATGCACAAGTTATGTGGTGAGACTGCTGAACTCCAGGATGAGATGAAGTGCTTCCTGCTCACTTAGTCCTGAACCTCATTGCTATAATCCCCCTATAGTGTAGATTGATGAGATTTGGGACTGGGTGAGCAGTACAGCTCATGATCTTAACCTCTCCTTCCCTATGGTGTATGGGAGTATTGTGGGAGAGGGAACCTGGGATGGCAAGATATGTGCCTTAGGGCATGTTGGCCCCCTACAATTCTACTTTTACTAGCCCATTCCAGGATACTGTTTGGTCTTGTCTGGAATGAGCTTCAGTTTATTGCCTCTTATCCATCCCATAACCTTCTCAAGGCATTTATTGAGGACTTCCACAGACCTGACCCAACCAACTCAACTGTTAGGGAGAAATAGAGGAGGAGGTGGAGGAGGAGAGTTGGATTTATACCCTGCCTTTCTCTCAGAGCAGCTTACAGTCTCCTTCCCTTCCTCTCC